CAATTAACCACTAGGAAGAATGTATGCAATGTGTTAATTATTGAAACTGTCCTACCAATTTGGTTTGAAACTGTTTCATTACTATTTGTTTCTCAATAAAATTATGGAAAAAAATAATATAAACCTGTGAGCTTTAGAGCAACTATCTGTGCAACACTATGACCAGGATGGCAGGAGAGCTTCTGTTCCTAGACTCGTACACAATGGCAAATGCAGTTCAGGTGCCTGAAGTATGGGAGATTCTGTTCTAAGCACCCAAACATAGTGCCACTCCAGAGAGCTGAAGACCAAAGTGCTGGGCACCTGGGGTAGCAGGAGATAACCCAGAGGCAGGACAGTGACACCAAGTGCTCAGAGAGCTTTGCACAGTGGCAGTATCGTAGCCAGTGAGGTTTATCTGAGATGCAGTTATTGCTAATTGAAAAGTTTTCCCAAGTGCTCAGAGACAGGAACAGACAATAATATAGAAGCAATTTGCAATTAACACAGTGATCAGAGGAAGTGGACAGGCAATCTCAGTCCTTGACCATGCAGATCTGAATTTAGGTCCTAGATCTGTATGAGAATGTAGATGCCTGGGCGTCACTGGTGAAGGCTCTAGGCTCCTGGGTGAAGAAGATGGGTGGACAGAAGACAGATGTCTGTGTGCTTGAGTGGGGGCAGTGGCAACTGTGCTGATGTGTGCCCACAAGCCCCCATCTTTGGCCTCTGAAACTGATCCATCTGGGCCTGTTGGCTGGGCAAGGATGTCCCAGGCATGTACTCTTGGTTTGTGATTTGTGGTTAAGGCAACACGAGCCTGAGTGCTTTAGCTCAGCTTCATCGTGTTCTAGTCAGTTCAGTTTAGAAGCACATTGTGACTGTGATTTCTAGACTCTTTGTGGTTGTAGTTCTGTTCTATTCTTTTTATCTCTTCTTTCTTTCCCTCCAGTCTTCAGCACCAGTTTCCCAAAGGTAGTGTGATGTCCTTTGTCCTCTAGTCTTAACTTTTTTTTTTTTTAGTCTTAACTTATAATCTTTTCCTCTTCCTCCACTTCTCTATTTTCTCTAACCCATTTTAAATTTTGAGACCTAAGGTCAAAATTGACATATTAAGGACTTATATACTGCTTGTAATTTTCTGATTTGCTTTAGATTTTGTTATACAACCACAAATATAGTTCCTATGGTTAAAGGTGGCAAATTAGTAGTTAGTTCAGTTTGACATTTTCTAGTCTGTGTATGATGCTACTGTCATTGGTACCACTATAGCCAGAAGTGACATAATTGTTCTAAACAGGCTGTTATCCCTGGTATTCCAAGACTGAGATTGACTAAGGGTCACAGAAAACACTGTGATACAGTGCCAAGGAACCAGGGGCTGGGCCAAACAGACAGCCACTTCTCATCTGCAACAAATTGAAGATATAGGATCTTGGAAGAGGCTCAAAACCCAAAAACTAGCTACACCTGAAACAATTACATGGTGAAGTGGTCATTTCCTAAGGGTTCTAAATACTAGCAATAAAGCAACCTAGCATAAGCAATTTATAAGCATCACCCTAGGAATTACATTTTAAAAACAAAATGAGGAGGGGCTGGTGAGATGGCTCAGTGGTCTGAAGCACCTACTTAGAGCAAACAAGCTAAGCAAAGCACAGGGACCACGGTTCAATCCTCCAGCACCACATGCCAGCCAGCCCCGCCCCCTGATGGGCTGAGCTGGCCACACACACACACACACATAAATAAATAAATAAATTAAAAAAAAATGAGGAAACACTCAAACAAGATGCAGTTCACCAAAAGCAAATAGAGGGGGCAATGAGGTGGGACAATCCAAAAGCCACCTGGCCTCTCTGAAGTGGTAGTAGCAAAGTAATTGAATGAAGCTCTAGAAAAAAATTAGAAATAATTTTTCAGATAACTGCAGAGATGGTTTCTAAAATGAAAGCCATGCTTAGTAACTGTAGAGTAGATACAGACAAAAAAAATTAGAAGAACTTAAGAAAATTATGGAAGTTATAAATGTTCAGAATGGGAAAAAAACGGAATCCAGAAGTCAGGATCAAGGAGCTACCCAGGAGAATAAAAATTCCATTGACAGTATCTGCAGCAGATTAAGCCAATGTGAGGAAAAGATCTCAGATATAGAAGGCAGGCTTTCAGTTAGTGATCATGAGAAGAACAATTTCTTAACAGTAGCAAGGGATCATGGGAAGTCAATACAGCAGCTGCTAGATGAGGCAAAGAAGAATAACTTAAGACTGATAGGAATCAGTGATATATAGAGAGAGACACTCAAATACATATAGAATCTCTCTATATATACATATATATGTATA